CAGTCCAAAAAAAAAACAACTAAGAAAATGACTTTTTAGTTTATTTTCTTTCTTATTTATTTATGTAGTTATTTTTGTTTCTATCTGATTTTTATGTATACAGAGAAGATACAGAATGGAGTAATTCTCCTGAGGAAGGAAACAATTACACACTCAAGTGTAGAAATGCTTTGTATTCAGCATTCCCTAGGGGTCAATTCTCTGCTCGTCTAAGGCTCAGTTCTTCCCTGAGCTTCAGAGGCAAGAGCTCCAGTGGAAACACTGAGCTAAGCTAAAAGGTGAATCAACATTCATGAAGGTTTATTTGTATGTGATTACTTAATGGTGAACTTTAACCTTTCAATAGTTGATGCATATTATTAATATTTAATCTATGTTGAGGGAAGATCATTTTAGAAGTAATGATTGAGGCTATAGTCTGAAGACCACTTATGAAAAACTTCAAAACCAATAGGATGACTAAGCAGAAGGAGAAGTGGGTATGTTTGTTGATATGGGATGGACTGCTAATTTCTTTTGAACAGCGCCTAAGTGACCTCCTCGAGGTAGAATCTCCCCTCCAGTCTTGCTTCTGAGTAAAGCATATCACCACCTCTTGGGTGGTAATACTGCATCTTGAATTCTACCATAGTAAACCATATGGGCAGAATTCATGAACTCAACATACCTTTTCACTAAGCTTAGACAGAGGACACTTAGAATGCCTAGCACATCTCTGTGTGCACATAATTCTTAGAGCAGCATAGAGGCTGAGTCAGAGTCTCTCAATGGGACTAGTCTAGGCATCCCTGAGGGTCCTCAAGAGATTTCTAGGAAATCTGATAGACCAATATTATTTTCTCATATTGCAAACATATTGTTCGCTCTTTACACTTTCCTTTGTTTATAAATGCAATATCAAGTTTTCCAGAATCTCCATGACTTAATGACATCATACTAATGGCTAAATGAAATGAGACTAGTATACTGTGTTTTAACATAAACACAACCTTTTGAGAATTCCTCAATAATCTTAAAGTAAAAGATGTTTCTGAGAAAACATTGTTTTGAATAGTTTAGATAAATAATAAGACATTTAGAAACTTTTCAAACAATGCACTATCCACAACACTTGGAGTACATAAATTTAATTTGGGTACTACTATCCCAGGGCTTACAGAAAGAGGAGTGCACCTAGAATCACACACATGGATATCACAAGGTGAGATATCTAACATGTATCTCTGAGCACTGATTTATCCTGATAACCTATTCCATGTTTGTCTGATCTAGTCTTTTCTTATTAGTTGAATGATTTCTATGCTACAAACATTAGAGTAGGCATTGCAAGTCAATGGCTGAAAAGAAATAAAAAAATATATGAAGGATACTTTCATTAACTTTACATCTTAATGGAAGAAGATATCCTAATAATAAAAATTACCATATTGCTTCTAATACAAAATACCATTTTAACATTAATTTCATATGATCACTCAGTATCTGACACTTCACCTTAATTTTGAAGTCTTAGCTACTTTCCTTTGAAATAGTGAAAATACTACTATTCAATTTAAATAAATAAATAGTTTGATCCAATTTAAAAAGTCAGGAAGGAATAGAGATTAATTTTCAAAGATTTCAAAACTAAAGAAGAAATAGCAAACCTTGAAGTATCTCATTGCATTACAATGTATAAGGTGATGTTGGGAAAATGTCACCAGTTGTGAACTATGGCAATACACTTCCTAACATAAATATTCTAATTTTTATCTTATATATTCCATAATTAATGATGCAGATGAAAATAAAGGACATTTATCCCATCAGACCACGTTGTGGTAACTTTTTTCAACTGATCCTTTTTTACATGTACAATTCTACACAAATGATTGATACCTCATATGAATTTCATATATATATATATATATATTGCTGTTGTTCATTTTAAAATGTGACATTTTGAAAGAATATTTTTGCTAACAAATTTACTAAGCCTCGGTTACTGGAAAGAATATTTACCAATTTATTCTATCACTAAAAGAACTATAATGTTTTCTAGTCAAAATAATTCTGATCAAAGCCTCATTACTTTAAAAGCTTTTGTCAAAAGTAAAGAAAGTAAATCATGAATTTTTATTCACTTTTTTAAAATTTTATAGAAATGCTAGAATGACAAAGGACAACAGGAAAGGGTGACTGGGTAAATTTTCTGCCTAAGCAGTAACATCAGGAGGAATCCAAATCTCACAAATGTGGACATACACTGAAGTGAGGTCTCAGGCCAGCTGGAGAATGGCCAACAACAGTACTTATGGTGCTCTGAGCATAGCGAGAGGGGAAATACAAATCTCAAAATGTAACTTTATATATTACATGCAGCAGAGTCACATATTTTAACTACAAATTTATTTTACATTGTGAAATATAAACATTTGTTAAAGGGCCCAAAACTTATTGATTATGTTTTATTTTCAGGTTGAGTGGGAGGTTTTGGTATATTCATTTATATTTCATATGTGTTTAATATTCTCTGGTAAAACTGAAATTCATAACGAAAGTGAAAAAAGAAAAAATACAAATAAAAGAAGCACAAGTTTTGAGATCTTTCTGAGCCTTCAGTGTTTGAGACTATTGCTAGAAGCATGGAGCTTTTATGAACTCAAAATTATGAATAGGATACTGGGAACTTTTCTGTAAAGGAAGCTATTTGATACAAACAATTCTATTTTAGAACACTCTGAGTTCTACAAAAACACCTTGTGTCAACACCAAACTAAACAACCCCTACAAGTGTTTCTGGTTTCACTTTTTTTTTCCTGAGACAGGGTTTCTCTGTGTAGCTTTGGAGCCTATCCTGGCACTTGCTCTGGAGACCAGGCTGGCCTTAAACTCACAGAGATCCCCCTGCCTCTGCCTCTCCAGTGCTGGGATTAAAGGCGTGCACCACCAATGCCCGGCTTCTGGTTTCACTTTTAATAAATAAATATACTATATGTAAAAGACTAATATCATACAGTTTAGATATTGCTACATAAAGAGAATATTTAATAATTATTTTCCTAAATGACCTTTAGAATGGGTACAGTTATGTTCATGTATATTCATTTGTAGATATTCTTGAGCAACATTATCAACCTCAATACAAAAAAAAAAAGAAAGCAAAAAATCCAAGTGACAGTTATAAAGTGAAGAATCTGAACCAAAGATGGTAATTACCTTCAAACATTTTACCTGTAGCTTCCTCTAGAGTGGCAACATCAAGCCTGGGGCTGTAATTTCCATAACCTGCAGCAGTGAAAGCCCGGATCTGAAAAACATACACTGTTCCTGGCTTGAGATTATTAATGGAGGCTGAGGTGGACTTGGTTTTCAGTGTTAAGTAGGTCCTTTCTCGTTGATCCTGCAATGACATTTAGAAGGAAAATTGGATTTGACAGTTGACTCTGGTAATTGATTTTGATTTTCTGCATTTTGTTTAAGTGAGCCTATGCTGTACCTTCTGTAATACTGTAATACTGAGTGTTTCTAAGATAACATAAAGTGCCATGAAAAACATGCATTTGCTGCATAAATTTCAAAAAGAAATAATTTCATTAAAATGATCATAGTGTTTGGGCTTTTGCTATGTTGGGACAATGAACAGTGGCAAAACTTTTTGGACACGTTTCTCTATTGAGTAAAATACAAGTACATCTGGTTTAGTAGAGGACTTCATATAGCTATGTAGTTTTTCAAACCTTCTCTAAGTGATATTTGGCAAACAAAATTCATGTACCAACAATCAAGCATGCTGTTAAATCAAGAAATCCAGTTAAACATTACAACCACAGTGACACAATAGTGACTCTCAGTAAAAAAGGAAGAAAACTACATCCACAGAATAGTACTTATCAGAAAGTTTTAATTACAACTTTTCAGTCTGAGAGTAAAATATGGGATTTATGGCTATGGTTTGACATTATTTTAAATTAAATATGTTATTCACTTTTTGAATGTACATACCAAGGCTTGCAAAGGTCATTAAAGCAGCAGCTTATATTTTTTCTATTTTGTAATACCTTGTATTACATAGATATTATGTATATATGTGTCATTTTACATATATTGGATAAGCTTAAGAATTAATTAAACATGAAACTTCAAGCACATCAAAATAATATTTAAAAGAATAACACCTAAATTTTCATTGATGTGACTTTCTTAAGCCACTTATGAAGACAAGTTGAAAAAGTTATATTTGTCTAACTATAAATTTTTGGGTAGTTTTTGATTCCTTCTGTAAGTACCAATGTTAAAATTATTTACTGAAATTTGAAAATAGCACCTTGATTTATTAAGCTTGACATTTATACTTCTGAAAGTGGAAATAAACAGTTGGCCTCACTTTATGGAGTTGATTCATCATAGCTATCAGCATAACCAGTTATAAAAATGATGGTAGGTATTATACATGAAATCATAGACAGTTGAAGTATAGTCTCAGCAGAACTAGAAAGAACTCACAATAGGTACGCAACAAACATGGATCGTGTGCCTTCATTTTGCACAGCCACACTGCTCCAGTACTACATTCCAATAACTGCCTATTTTACATGTTACTGGCTGCAAATAATTCTGTTTCTGTCATGCAAATAAAGCCCAGCAATTTGAGTGCATTTATTTCCCTGTGAAGATTTGCAAAAGATTGCAGATTCCCCGTGAGAAACTCTGCCACCTTGTACTGTAAAATGTGCTTTATTGACTTTAAAATCTGCCAATTTCTAGAAGGACCATAACTATTAGGGATTACACCGAGACGGATATTACAAAAGCAGCGCTAAAAACAATGATCCCCTTTAAGCACATTTGATGGGAAAAGTAATGTAGTTTTTCGGTCCAAAGCAAAGGCATAAAAATACAACTGAGACCAAGAGGAAAGCAAATGAGAATGAAAATCGTAAGCCAAAGTATTTCAAATGTGAACATTGGCACTTATTTTAAGCTGTCTTTGTTTTTCCTCACTGGGGATAGAGGAATATTGCCAATGAATTGTATATATTTCAATGAAATCAATTCACCCAAATTTTGCGAAAATCTTAGAATTTTATTTCATAATCATGTTTAAAATAGTGAGGTGTTTCTGTTTTGGAGCATTCACCTAACTCAGTCAAATAGATAAAGGATCATGTGTTACAATTAGCATTGTGATACCTAATAGTGGTAGGTTCTGTATTTTATATTTTGAGTGATGTCTGTAATTGTGGTGGAACTCAGAGAACTGTGAATGCACTTTCTATTTTTATGTCCTAACTAAATCAGACATTCATGAACATATTCATATAGACAGATATTTTGTATTACTACCTGGTCATTGTAAGGCGAGAACAGGAGCAGTACAAGAGTTTTAGACACAAATTTCTATAGAAGGAGAGTCATGGGATATAATAATCTTGAACTTATGCTATAATTTTCAGAGAGAATCTAAAAGAAAAAAGTAACACCTTCCTAATTTCAGTGCTGGAGGACATTATGAACATACAAAATATCATTAGCTGTGATAACAGCATTTGAAGACATCAATCCTATGAAAACCCTAAATTAAAGTGTCATTTATTACACACACAAATATACTGAATATACTTGTATATACAAGTATACTTTTCAAAATATATTGTGTTGAATAGTTTCTGTGCCATTAAAGCATCCTATATCTAATTATTATATAAAAAACTGAAAAAATATACTGCCAATAGTCTCACTTGTATGACACAGAAAGCAAATAAATAGAATCTTGATTGTAATGTGAACCTAGGTTGGAGAAGATGGTTATTAAACACAGAGAATCATGAGTGTGAATTGTGAAATAGCCCCAGATAGTGGTGTAATGCCCAGCACTAGAGTCCAGTGCAGTTGGGTGGTGTCAGGCACGGCACTGCTCACACCGCAGTTCTCTCACACTTACTTTTTCATAATACTTGATTTCATATTCCGTGTATTCCGTGATGACTCCATTGGGATGCTCTGGTTCCTGCCAGGAAAGCTCCACACTCCGCTGAAGCACTCGCTCCTTCATTACTCCACTCACTTGCGAGGGAGCTGTTTGGACAAGATGTGTCAATAAACAATGAGAAAATTCACTGGGTGCCTCAAATCAAATGTCACAACTGATCAGTCCCATGCTGTGCCAGTTTCATTAAGGTAAAAGAAAGCACCTTTTCATAGCTCACAATTCAAAAGCTAATGAATATTCAAACAGGACCTTATTACTGCTCATAAACCTTAATAGAAATTTAAATTAAAGTGCAAACAGCAGAAGATAGCATTGTTCAAGTTAGTGAAAAATGGAAATGATGGGACTGAGAATGACAATTAAGCAAATGAATGCTAATTAAGGCTAGAAAATATAATTTCTGATTAATCTCCAATGATAAACTGAGTCCAAATATTTATTTTATATAAAACAGAAATACACTTTTCTAAAGAAATAATAAATATCTAAATACCATAGAGAAAAAAAGTTCATGAAATAGATTAACAATTTTCAGTAAAAGGGTACATACTTTAAAATGTCATTGTTTCATTTGTGTTTGTGTCTGCATATATGGGTCTGCCCCTGTGTATGTATTCACAATGAATACCAATTAATTTTGGTGAAAAGTTTTACACTTTATTAGGAGAAGATGCTAGAAAATGCTTGAGCTTCTCCCATGTCATGCTAGGCCTGGCATGTCCTCGGCTTTACACTCCGGCATAATGCTCACATAGTAGCTCAGGCTCCAAGAGCTTTGCTCGGGGAAGTTCAAAGCTAAAGCCTTGCTTTCTCTTTCTATGCTGATAACAGTTCGCACAGAGTTCCTTCATTATAATTAGTGGCATATCCTCTTTCTTGTAGCTAAGGCTTTGGAATTCAGTAAGCTAATTTGCTCT